TGTCAAGGTCAAGGAAAGATTGGGCGTCCAAGCTTGATGACGCTCTATGGGCGTATAGGACAGCCTTTAAGACACCCATCGGTATGTCTCCCTTTCAACTTGTCTATGGGAAAACTTGTCACTTGCCGGTTGAGCTTGAGTACAGGGCATATTGGGCAATCAAGAAGCTTAATTACGATTGGAAATCCGCTGCGGAGAAGCGAATGTTGCAGCTTCACCAACTCGATGAGATTCGGTTGGATGCCTACGAGAATGCCCGGATTTACAAGGAGAGAACTAAGAGATGGCATGATCGTCGGATTTTGCAGAGGGATTTTAGAGAAGGTGATCAGGTACTTCTCTTTAACTCAAGGCTCAAACTATTTCCAGGCAAGTTGAGATCGCGTTCGGGGCCTTTCACGGTTAAACACGTCTACCCTCATGGAGCGATAGAGTTATATGGCTATGTGGGGGATACATTCAAGACCAACACGCAAAGGTTGAAGATCTACAATCCCGGGGAGCATGATAAAGAGAGGAGCTCGATGAGCTTCTCCGACCCTCAAGACGAGTGAGCAACCCACGGTCAAGCTTAGGACCATAAATAAGCGCTCTCGGGAGGCACCCCGAGTTTGTATATATCCTTTTTCGTATCCTTTTTGCATTGCATCTCACTTAGAAACACCCATTTGCATCCCTTGCTTAGTTTTGATACTCTCCTGGTACGTTGATGCTGTTGGGAATTAGATAGGCTAATTTTAATGCAGGAAAACGAAGGAAGAAATTGGTGAACAAAGCCTGAATGTCAGTCCGTTCGGACTGATTCATTGAGTCCGAACGGACTAGGTGTAGCAGCTTGTTCGGACTGCTTTAGCGATCGCTACGGACTGAAGATGTGGGTCTGTACGGACTAAATATGTAAGTCCGTTCGGACTGAATCAGTGAGTCCGTTCGGACTAGGTTTGAGTCCGAACGAACTAGGGTAAAGGCGTTTTAAAAGGTAAGTGGGGGTGGTGAATCTGTCACTTTCACGCGAAAAGGTAGTCCGAATGGTGCATCACCTCTCCACCGCTCCAATCGCCGAAACCTTCGCCCCCGATAACATCCATCTCTCTCTTCAAGCCTCAGACGCCGTCGACACCACCCCACCTCTCTCTCTCTACTCTCTTCGACATCTCTCTTGTTTTCACCATGGAATCCGAGGTAAACCTTTCCGTCCTTCCTAATATAGCCGATTTGATGAATTTGGAGCCTTATTTTCTGCAAATCCGGTTAAGTGTAGGTTAGATTTAGGGGTCCCTCAACGAAATATCGTGAGATTCGAAGCTTTAGGTGGGTAACCATGGCGGAAAGTACGTAGGTCACAGGTAGTCCGAACGGTCTGGTTATTCTGGTCCGTTCGGTCTGAGAAGCTCCACCACGAGAGTGGTCCGAGAGGCCAGTCCGTCCGGACCGGATTACATAGTCCGAACGGACTACATGAACAGAAAAAAAAAATTCACAAATTTGGTTCGTTCGGTCTAGATTCCGATCATATCGGACCAAGGCACTGTGAGACATATTTCCCCGCTAGTTTTACCTATTTTCGCAACATCTAAGTTTCGGCTCACCAATCGACATTTTGTTTCATGTGCAGACAGAGACAGAGGTGTATACTTGCAAATCTCCCAAGACGCCGCAGTTCGAGATACCCGAGGACGCCATAGGGGAGCTCACTGATCTTCAACCCATCGAGCGGTGAGATATCTGCACATGTTTATGGTGGGAGGACTGTTTGCGAGAGGAGATCAAGGTAATGTCAGCACCCTTGAGGTATGCCTCTTACGCCGAGCTTTACGAGATGCATTTGACGGCGACGATTGGGGCATGTCCGCATTGGACATCGCCTCCAGGGGGGCCCTCCACCTTTCCGGTCCAAAACCCGCCGGAACGGACGTTCCATTCTCGCAA